GACTATCTTGGGCTTAGAACTCTTAAATGGGCTCTAATTGGACCCACTTTCATTTATTTTAACATTTTGGGCCATATTGGGCCTAGAATGAAATAAAATACTTTAATGGGCCTTATTGGACCATAACAAATCCAATTAACCTAAATGGGCCATAAAATTTATTCTCTTTAACAAATTGGGTCGTGAGGCACCCTAGGAGTCCAAAGGGTTTGAAAAACAATCAATATGGGCCCATGATTTGGATTTAAGCACCAAGGGCTCAATAATTCTTTTTTTTTCTTCCTTTCTCTCGGCCCATCTATATATATATATATATATATATATATATATATATATATATATATATATATATATATATAGAGAGAGAGAGAGAAAAGAAATGGAAGTTGACTTTTGCTATGCCACCTCATTATTTTCTCTTGGATTTCCATGCATGTAACCCATATTTCCATGTAGCCATCACTTCATTTAATCTCTCTTCCCCCCTCTCTTCTTCTCTCAGACGAAACAACACCAACACACACACACACACATCTCACTTGAAGACTCTCAAAGAAACTCTCTCTTTTCTTCACCAAGGTTTTGAGATTAGGAAGCTTTTCAAGGAGATTACCCCACAAATTCATCATCTAAGGTAAGATCATGCTTAAATCTATGATCTAACTCACTTCTTTTCATCAAAAATCACCTCTTAATCCATTCAAATTCATGATCTCGCATCTTAGAACCCACTAAGTTCGAGATCCATCCAAGTAACTTGCTAGGGCTGAAAATAGCACCAAACTTCTCCTAACCTTCTTCAAAACCGAAACCACACTCAAGGTGAGTTTCATACCCCTTTCTTTTCGGTTTTTATCAGTTTTATGGGGGAGAATACAAGAAAATGTGTAGAACTATGTGTATATGTATGCTATGTGTGATTTGATGCATGTATGTGTGTGATTTCATGTGATGTGATGAATATGTTACCAAAAAGGGTGTAAACCCGAGATCTATGACATGAGAAAGCATACAAACATAATCTAAGCTATCTTACACTAAACAAGTCAAGAATAACAGCTTATAAGGTCATGATGAACATGTTCTAACATAAAACCCATTTTTGGGCTTAAATTGTCAAAAATACAAAACTAGGGGTACAAATCATCAAGTCACGGTTTCTTGAAGGTTAAAAGGGTCAAAACAGTTCCTATAAATATTTTTTTTCTGAACATTAGAAATTTCAAGGGACTTAAAATGTAAATTTTTAGCTTAATGGGCTAATTTTGGGCTTTTCGGCCCAATAAGGCTCAAAATGCGAGAAATGATAAATTTTAGGGGCTGAAATGCAACTTTCTGTAAAACAGAGCGTAATTAGCATGAAAAAATCATTTTATGGGTAAAAAATGCTTTTCACTATCAAAAGGGACAAAAAATGTAAAGTTTTTAGATTTTGGGCCAAAACTGTAAAAGTTGTGAAAATGGGTTCCTAACCGAGAATCACTATTCTGGAGGGGATGAAGCTATCAACAAAGTAAATTTTGGGTTAAAATCGTGTTTTCATCAAATAAATAATACAAAAGTGTCAAGAAAAGGGTTTTAAGGACTAAAAATGAAATTCTTTTATATAAAAAGGACCAAAAGTGTTATTTTTATAAAAGAAGGGTAGTGAAAATGGTCAAATTCCACTTTCAAACAAATTAATTCATTAATACAAAATACAAGATCCACGACTACCGACGAAACGGAAAACAAATACACTCTCAATAACAAATATCGTTACAAAACGAATTGATTTGGTTTCAAATCAATAACAAAATAAAATCGTTAAACCAAAGCATTTCAATAAACACACGATAACTATGATGAGCTAACTTACAAACTTTGGGCTTGGAAGTTTCAAATTATGCTTGTGGGCCTTGCTAGCCCATTAACATGATCTTTGGGCCCAAAGGGAATATGCTTACGTGTTATTGGGCCTCCTGTGACCTAATTCCATGTAAAAGGACTTTCAATAGCTCTAATGTGCTATTGGGCCCTAGTGGCCCATTAGTACTACTAGTGAGGTCGAGAAGTCAAATGCGAGTTGGGCCAAGTGTCTTTCACATTCCCGATAGCCTTAAATAACTCACGGAAATAACGGGACTTCGTACTCCCCTTTCTCCTTGGTTGTTGGGCTTATGAGAAATCCAGTAAACAGATTCAGGGCGTTAAGCAAGAGTAATCATGGTAGTTGGATTAAGTGAGTAGTAAAGGGTGACGCCTTTAAGGATCATTCGTAACCTGTAGTTATAAACTAGTCATGTTTATGCGTGATTATAACGACTCACAAACCCTAATTAATCCACCGCTACCCGAGAAATCAAAATCATTCGTCGTGACGGTATAACAATAGAGAAATCATTGTAATTTATGTATTGGGAAAACATCGGGTTTTCCTGGGAAGTTCAACATTTTCACTTGCATGATTTATACAAAGCTTCAACAATTATACATGTTTTGAAAATCAACAAGCATATATTCACGGATCTTCACACTTTTTATAAACAATGATCTTTTCAGAAAATATCGGATTTTCTGGGTTTTACAAACTACACCAAATCATTTTACCACAACATTACTTATCAACTCACCAACATTTCATATCTTGATGCTTTTCAAAATAACTTGTATTCTCAGGTAACAGGTAAACCGAAGAATGAGTACCAAGTAATGTCATGGTGTTTTGCTTAGATTATCTATCAGACAGTTTATGTTATGAAATTGTAATGTCTAAAACAATGTACGGGATGTAAACAATATCAGTTGTAATATTTCAATGCATAGTGATGAATTATGTTATGATTCATGTATATTCATTGTGATGGTATTCAATTTAAGTCACAAGAGCCCTCGGACGTTTCCGCCGTCTGGTTCGGGGGTATGACACAAAACTTCGATGGGTTACAACTTCTTCGTTATAAGTCGGATTTCAGCGTTCTTTATATGTACAAAATCCTTGTGACATATACAATACTTTGGTTAAGATTATTTATTCTAAATAATCTTCAATCAAAATTCTTTTTTAACGCTTATTATCTCTAGATTGATTAGCCTGAATCTACAGGCATTACAGTTACATCTGGTGTACGCACCCCTTATGCAAACTCATGTATAAATGTCTTAATGCCTTAAGACCCTACGAAAAAAAACTTAGATCTGAACCCACTAAGACCCGTAAGGCCATAAAGTTGCAAACGTTATGCCTTTGCATGGCTACAAGAAGCCCAACACTAAAATCCTAGCTTACTTCACCCTTTTCTACACCCTAACTCATGGATGGGGACAAATCAAGGCTCAAGTTTGCATCTTTATGACTTGAGATGTCTTGAAATGTCTGAAAGGACACCTTATAGGCTTTGGATTACCTTCTACTCACCAAGCACTTGACTGTCGGACAATAAGATGAAAAATCAATGCTTAACTAAGATCTAATGAAAAATAAACCAAGTTTGGAGCTTTATACCTCTAAATGGTGCTCAATGAAGAGGAGATGATGGATCTAAAGTCTTAAGAGCAAAGCTTACTCCTTGAAGGTCCTTCTTCACAACCAAAGAAGCACACAACTCACTTCACAGGCTCAACATGCTCAAAATGAAATGGGGTTTACAAGGAGGGTTAATATTGGCATGGAGGTTGATCAAGGGAAAGATCGTGAGGCTATAATGGGGTTTAGATAGTGCACAAACCCTAAATATTAGGGTTTTGGTTTGAACCACGTATGCCCGACGTACTAGAGTACGCGCAGCGTACTGGCACGGGACATAGTACGCTCAGCGTACCAAAGCGTACACCTCGCATACTCGGGCAACTCCAAAAGTCAGGGATTTTGACATCGGGGACTCTTCTTGCAACAAATCAAAACTAAGGGTTCAAAAGCAAACCTGGAAAAATAGATGTTACAACTTTTTATTTTTATTTTTTAAGAAAACCCTTGGATTTTTTTTTCTTTAAAGATGTGAGTTTTTTTGAGGAAAAAAATAAAGCTAAGGTTTCTAAAGAAAAAAAAATTGTGTAAAATTAAAACTTACTAGTTAACCTTCTAAAATTGTCAAATAAAAAATTTTGAAAAATGGAAAAGAAAATTTTCGACTTTCTAAAATCCATTCAACTCATAAACACACACAAACACATAGATACATAAGCATGAAGATTCAGATGCAAACCTTCTATTAGGTAGCGTTTAGTACACGGTATAGAACTAGATGAGATTGGACGGAAATGACCCGGACATGACTACACTGATTATTTATATGGCGTTTGGCAAAACTAGGTCCAGACAGAACAAAACTATAAAATTACAAGATTATCCTTAAATATCAAAATTTTCATCCGTTTTTTCTGTTCATTTTAACGTATAACATTTATAAGTATATTTATCCTTAATTGATAACTTAATTAAAATAATATTAATATACTCTTTAAGCTCGCCCATATTCGATTCGACAAGGAAAAGCATAACAGATTGGATTTTGTTTTTGTTAGTTGTTTTGGGTGAATTTAAAAAGAAAAAAAATAAAGAAAGATTAATATGGGATCGATGTGGAAAATGATTATGATGCAGTGAAATGAAACTTACGTTTAAAAAAAATGGTGATAAAAGATTACATTACTAGTATTAAGAGGCGAGGTGCAGTCAAAAAACAGAAAAATATAATGATGAAAGTGGAAGAAATATATTACAAGGAAGAGAAGACGTATTATTTTATGGGTATTTTTATCAAATATTTATTGTCCCTGTTGTGTTCCGTATGTTTTGGTAGGACTAAAATATTAACAATTGGTATCATTTGACTCTGTCAATAACCTTTTTAGTTCTTGTTCAATCATTACCAAATGTCATCTGAAAATCTTGTTCTATTCTGTCCAATTCTACTCACCCAACGTTACCTTAAAAACGGTGCAGTAACCTTGAAAGAAGATTTTAACATCACGAGTGTAGAACATAGGCATGTTGCCCTCTGATATTTCCACCACTTCCATTACTGACGGCGGAGGAATATTTGGTGGCTAGACGAAGACATCACATAAAAGGTATATTAGTAGAAGAATCGTAAGGTATGGAGAGAGAGAGAGAGAGAGAGAGAGAGAGAGAGAGAGAGAGAGAGAGAGAGAGAGAGAGAGAGAGGGGGGGGTGGGGTGATTTATTTATTTTTTTCCCATATCAATATCAGTTTAAGAAAAAATTAAAATAAATTTAAAATGGTATAAATGTTAGTTTACATGATTTGGGGAGTAGGTATGTCAAAAAGTTTCGTGAGACCCCGTTCTCATAGGGGTCCGTTCCGTTTGGGGGATTTTTTTAAAAAAAATTGGGGACAGGGACGGGGATAAGGTTAACCCCCGTTTTATTTTCGGGGGCGGGGGTATCCCGTCCCAAAACCCTAATGGAGACTCCATTAATTTACGTATATTAATTATATATAAATATAATAAACAATAATATGATTTTGAGCTTTCAAAATTCATCAGAAAACATGTTTTTAAGTTATTAGTATAGTTTTTTAAAATGCTATAACTTTTTTATTTTTAACATGTAAAATTCTACTATAAATAATTATTTGTTACCTAAAAAATAACTTATTTTAGCCTAAATAATAACTTTTTTTAACCTAAAAAAAGGTAGCCCAAAATCAATCGGAGGTGGAGGAACAAGGGCGGGGCGGGGGTAATAAAGGGGATTTGGGGGCGGGGGAACGGGAAAATTTCGGGGGCGGGGGTGGGTGATGCACTCCCCGCCTCGTTTGCCCCCGTTTACATCCCTATCGGGGAGCAAATCATCCCTATCGTCGATATAGTCTAGTTTCCCACCCACCACAAAAGTCAAAAGAAAGAACCTAATACCTTCCCAAGAAAAAAATTATTAAATCTCATAAAATTTGGGTAAGTATGAGGCAATATGAAGACAATTGAATCTCTAGCTAAGAGGTAGGAGAATTGACAACCTTTAGTAAAAGAAACACATGATCACATACTAGATGATCTCATGCATATTAGTAAGAGAAACATCCCACAAAGGAGACTATAAAATAGTGTGTGACTAAGATACTAACAATAAAGCTGAAAGTAAGTAGAGATGAGGGCAATCTGGTAAATTTTATATGAATACATAAACTGTTTAAATAAATGCTAATAATAAAAAGCAAAAAAGAGACTAATACCAACGATGTTCTATCCAAAAAAATTGAAACCTACCCTGAAAATTACGATGCTGAAATCTGTATTTGGACAAAATGGATTAAACGAAGACTTTGTTTAGACAACACCACCAATATTATAAGTTTTGCATTGTGTGTTTCTCCTCCAATCTTTTGGTTTAATCCAATTTATATAATTATATATTTAATCCCTCGTCTCTAGTGGTGTCAGAGAGCAGGAAGAAAATGCCAATTCTGATGACGACAGAGATGTGTGTGGAGAAAACGGTTGAGCAAAATGAAGAGTGGGTTTAAGTTTAAGCAGTAGATGGAAAGCTTTTTAATAGAATTGAAACTAAATTAAATATATTGCAAAATCAAATTACATATGATGACATGAACATAACGTGACCAAATTTTGCAAACAGGACGCCATATATACGCTACAAAGGGTTCAATACATGTTTAGCAAATTAAAATTGATCTCAATGATGTTAAAAAAAACTCGCAATACACAAAATGACAACAGTGTGACATTAACCCAATAAAAACAAGAAAAAAGTATATAACCATATTCATCTCTCATAATGGTGACTCGTATACAGATTTTGCTGCTATAGAATCTTAACAAAAATGCTTCTGCTTCTAGTCAATACCATTATTCTACACTAGTGCAACAAATAATACCACAAAAGAACTAAGACAAAAATATGAGAAAGCTTACTCATTGGATGCTTTCTTCTTCCTCTTGGGTTTGGATCCTTTACCCTTCTTAGATTTCTTTTGTTTCTTAGTGTCCTTACCATTATCATCTTCATCATCATCATCATCATCATCATCATCTTCCATCAAATGCTCATAATCTTCAAGACTTGCAAAAGGTGATGCACCAGCCTTCCTTTTCTTCGGTTTAACCTCAAACACATCCTCTTCATCATCACTTCCATCTTCTGCATCCCCAATACCAACATCACCACCTTCATCATCTTCATCACCAATATCTGTTGGAAACTCCATTCCTTCATCATCACTATCACGCCCTACCAAATCCTCATCATCTCCATCAACAATCTCATCCAAATCATCATAATCATACTCCCCATCTGCATTCAAAGCAGAATTAGTCGAATCCAATATAGCTTCAATCTCTTCATTGTCACTCTCATCCTCCATTTCATCTTCTTCTTCCCCATCTTCACCTATCAAGTCCTCTGCCGCCTCATCCTCCGCCCCCTTCTTCTTCTTCTTTTTGGGTTTCTTTGTAGAGTTCATCTTGTTCATGTAAAATCTATGGAACACAACGTCTTCTGGAGCTACATCCATTTCATCCAACTGCAATATATCTGCTCCAATCAATGGCTTGCTCATGTCAAGCTGTTTTGCAGGTTCGATCTGAGAACCACCATGCCAGTTTCTTTCTTTTGGTTTTTTCTCCATGAATTTGTCCAAGAAAGCCACAAGTGAAAGATCATTTAATGGGTTTCCATTGTAGACAATGTTGGCACCTGAGAGAAGGGTTTTTGCCATGGTGGATACTGATGGATGTACATGTGAAGCTAACACCATTAATTCCCACCACCCTACACGCTCTGCATTGCTGTCATATCAAAACAACACCTCAACCTCAATTTTTGTGATCTTTTTAATTGTTTTTTTCTTATATTCAAAAATTACCTGTAAGTAGGTTCTCTATGTCGAGGGTCGTATCCCCCAGGCAATGTTTGTACTTGTGGTTGACTTTTATCATTACCAGATTTCCTTTGACTTTCACGAAGCTTGGTCAAACCTCCAAATCCAAGCAAGTCATCATCTTTATCCAAATCATCATCAGAACTGACTGCTGGAGACCCACCTTGATCCTCTGGCATGTCATTATCATCACCATCATCATCATCATCATCATCGTGAACACCATTGTTGCTAAGAACAGCTTCACCAGAACCACCTGGTTTATCTTGTTCTTCAACTATGTCTTCAAAATGTTCAAGTTCTTCATCAGCCAACTCATTCTGAAGCACCATGTTCCTGTAGAAAAAGAATTAGATAAACAACTTTCTCATGTTTGTTTATCTGAAGACCATGATGTGATCAAAAAGCAGCCTCACCATAGAGGTGGTTTTGATTTAAGAACTTCAGAAAGAAGAAAGATGCAAGCACAAGCATATTGAGGTGGCTGCTGTAAAGAAACCTGTCATTATAGATATTTAATTAGGGGGGTGTGAAAAGAAAAACCATAGGAGTGAAAGGGGTCAGGTGTAAATTTTACTACTTACCTGCAACAAACGTTTTGCAAAGGCAGAAACCCTTTTCAAATTAAGATCGTTTTTCATAGCTCGTAAAAGAAGACCAATGAACATTTCTTCCTGAAAAAGATTTGTACCCATGAAAGTTTGAATGTTAGTAAAAAGATAAAAAAAAATCTAAAACATTAAACTTTACTTGCCTTGGAACTGTTCATTGCAGAAGGAAGTAATAGCTTGGAGTACAAGGCACGATAAAATCTGTCACTAACAACTTGATTTTTTGATGAGATTTTATCAAGAAGCATCAATGCTTGAACTCCAACATTAAAGTTCTTTGAGTGAACCTGCATACCACAAAGTGTAAATAAGTGAGCATATAATAACTTTTAGAAAGAAAAAAAATGATAAAAAAAGTCGGATAACTTGTTTATTTGTAAGCTTACCAGCTGAAAGAGCATTGGAGTCTGGGATTCAACAATGTCATCTGCTTCATTGCTTGCAACAAAAGGGAAAGCCCTATTGACTCCCTGTTAGATAATAAAGATAAGCAACCAAGAAAAACAGAAATAGAAAGTAAACATAAAAAATAGATAGTGAGGATGATATACTAACAGTTAAAAGAGCTGATAATAATCTTGAATCCATTTCCACATGAGGATCTTCATCCTTTTTAGCATCCTTGTCTTGGGGTTTTTTATAATCTTCTTTGCTCTTCTTCTTGGTTTTTCCACCAGCCTCAGATATAAGCACCTAAAACAATATACTTTCAGAACTTATAGCATTATGACCATTAACCTTTTTTTTTTCTTAATTACCAGGTTACATTGAAGAATGATGTTCCATACATTACCTTAAATAAAGCAAAATATACATCCACTAATCGTTTTGCCACTTTTGGCCCATCACCTATGTGACTTAGACGGATTTGGCTCAAAAAATTAACCTGCATATAAAGAGATCGAGTTATATTCATATATTAATTTGATTATCAACAGAATATGAAATTTTGAACAAATTCAATCATTAAAAACATCCAAGAAAGTGCTTGAAACATACACCATGGTACTTGGCTCGCAACACCAAATGAGGTCTGAAAAGAAAGTTATCTACTTCATCAACCACAACTGCCTGTAAAGTTGCAGACATTGGGAAATGTTAGTAAAGATTATGATCAAGAATAGTAAAATTAGGAACATAGAAAAATTATAGGCCCTGTATACCTTCATATTTGGATGATCTGACAAAAGCTTTGACAAGAGATAATCAGCATTAGATGCAGCTTTATTTTCAGGATCCCCTAACTGCAGACAACAAGCTTTGTGAAATATTTCTGTAACCAGAAGAGCTGATAATATAGATTGTTAAAACAGCTTTTCAATAATAAATATCAGGTGAACCTTGTTTACAAGTGCAGAGAGCAATCGGCGCTCTTGTTCTGATTTGCTCTTCAGTAATGCATAAATTGTCTGAAAGCATTATAGAGAAACAGAGTCATTATGTTAATGTTATCGTATAGTATGTTACTAATCAACTTTTGTAAAGAACACAGACATAAAAGTAAACAAACCTTCAATGCTTTATCCTTAAGTGTAGCTAGTACATCTCTAGAAGCTTCTTCAAGTGCAAATATATAGCGCTCATACCTGCATTCGAACATGGAGTCATGAACAGGTAAAGAAAGCTGCAATTAGCAAATAATAGTAGAAAATACAAAAAGGTATACAATAATACAAGGGTCAAGCATTCAACCTCTGTTTTAGGCATTCCTCCCAATGCCAGAATAGTAGAAGCGAATTGCCATCCTTTGAATCTGGAAGATGATTCAAAGGCTGTTGAAAAAGTGTCCTCAGCTTACGATCAGGTAATAGACTGGTATAAAGATGAACACATCAATTAGTGAAGATGGAGAGACAAATCACAAATGAAATACAGATGCTTATTTTAAATGAAGAACCGAATAGTAGGCAGGTGCAAACCTTGATATGAACATTTCTTTCAGTGCTTCAAATCCTGTAAAGGCATAACGTTTACCAACTTTTGAAGTCACCATACTTACAAGTGCATCAATTGACTTGATATTAGCAATTGGATTGTCACCAACAAGAACTGAGAACGCCGATACCTTATCAGTCACAGTCCCGGACCTCTGTGTAGCCAATACCATCTTAATATCGCCACTCTGTCCTCTGGACAACTCGTAATCGTGTACGTACTGCGCCAACAACCTCTCCGCAAGCTCCTTCTTCTTCTCCACCAAAACCTTCCATTCTTCCACGTTCTTAAACTCAACTTTCTTTCTATTCACGCCGCTTCCAATCAGCTTTTCTTCCAGCTCAGCTGCGTCATCGTACCAAACCCCCAAAGAACTTGCCTTTATCAGAGGCAGTTTTGGAAGATTCTTGAATTTATCGAACATTTTTGAATTATCAACAGAGAAGTGTATCTGAGCCTTGGGCTTAGGCTGTGGATTGGGAGGCTCTTCCTTCTCTTTCTTGTTATTGTTTTTAAATTTATCGGTGTTCTTCTTGTTGTTGTCTTTAAATTTTTCATCGTTCTTCTTGATGTCAACTTTAGGATTTTTCTTGATCGGAGCTCGTTTACGGAAATCGGAGTCGTCAAAGCCGGCGGAGGGAACAGATGAAGATAGACCGAGTGAAGAGGCGAAGTTGGCAATTTCTGATTGAAGGAGGTCGGCATCATTGTCTTTGGATACTGTTGTTGCTGGTGAAGATTTCTTCTTCTGCTTTGAAATCGGCATTTTTTCAGGCCAATTACAGGAGAAGGCAGTAGCACCACCAGTGTTGTAAAGAAACCCTTTTAGGTTTTATTTTTAGGGTTTTAGGCCGTTTGAGAGGGTGCAATGCTTGTTCGCGGCTCCAAGTTCGGATACTCTTTTTTTAATTCAAACTTATGTTTGCTCTTAAAATGTCATTTTTAATAAAATAATGCAAAGGAAATATATATATATATATATATATATATATATATATTAGGTTTAAACTCGTGGAAATCCACGGGTGATAAATTGAAATATAATTATAGTTTTTAATTTGTAACAAAAAAAAGATATGAAAGTTTAGAAAAAATGAAGAATAGTGATATTAGACAATTATAATATGCGTTTTTCCAGGTGAGTATTCATATAAAATATTTATTTCCTTAATTAAAACAACAAAAGATATATTTTTATTTATTTTTCCAATTTGCATAACTTTTTTTATTGATTTAATAAAGTTGCATACCAAATTGTTAGGCTGTTACGATTTCACCACCTAAAATATGTATATTTGTATTATAATATATTATCTTGTTAGTATTTCATGAATGCAATCAATAACACTGCTTTGAATGCGAAGTTGGATTTAGCTTTGCTATAAGTTTCAATCGATTTTGAAATTGAGTATTGTTCGCATTTGTATGAGTGTAGTCGATGAATCGATAAAGCAAGAACATATGAGTTTTGATTCGCAATTGGATTGATGATTGAGGGATGATTCGTGAAGAAAAACGCGAAGTCAAGGACTGTGAAATTGTTGTTTGCAAGAATTTAAAAACTCGATTGTGGAGTTGTTGATGCTCATTTTGCGAAAGTAAAACAATCGAGTGTTTGCATCTGTGAATCAATTTGAAGTCAATTGGGTTAATATTCGCATATGGGTTCAACATATGAATTTTTGATTTCGCAAGTTTAGAGTTCAAGAACTAAACTGTGTTCGCATCTGGAATGAAAATTTGGTGGTTCGCATTTGATTAATTAGGTTAAAATGCGAAGGTGATTAATGCGAAGGGATGCGAAGGGTGTAAGAATGAAGATGCGAAGTATTTCACAGTAGAATGCGAATTGGGGAAGAAAACAGAAATTTTCAAATATTGTCCCTGGAGTTTCGCATTTTTGGAAATAAATACTCAACTTCGCAAATGGGGGTCATAAAATGATGAAATTGCAGAATTTTTAAAGAGATACACACACATAGACAACCACACATATATTTAGAAAATTAAACTAAAAGATGATAAATTACAGATTATAGCATTGTTCTTTGAGAATAAATTACTAAAAATGGGATATAGTGTAACAGGAACTTCAAAAAGAAATTGATACTTTTTTGTTTATTATATAAACGGTTTGATAAATCAGACGAAATAATCAATTCTTTTGTTTATCATTTAAGTGTAGATGTTACCAAGAAAACAATGAGAAAATTACATATTTACTGATATACCCTTAAGGGTATATAATGAGAAAAAAACTAAAAATCGAAAACTAAACAGAAAAAACCTGTATATTTAACAAAAAAATTAGGATATAAACAGGAAAATCGTAAAGCACTGATTGATTTATATATTTAATTGTATCACTTGCAAACATACTTTTCAAAAACAGATATAAACATATACGTACATATAGACAATAAAACATATATTTAGAAAAATAAACTAAAAGATGATCAATTCCAAAATATAGTATTGTACTTTGAGAGTAGATTCCTAAACATAGGATATAGTGTAACAGGAAGTTTAAAATGAAATTTGTAATTTTTTTGTTTATTATTTAAACGGGTTTGATAAATCACATGAATTGATAATTTGAGTTACTTTTTCAACAGGTTTGTAATTTATATGAATATGATGTTAAAAGAAACCACCAATGTATCAAACTCTTATACATAACAGGTAAAAAAATAGAGGGAAAAGTGATGAAATCGATTAAGAATGTAGATGAAATAGAACATCTAAAAGGTAAAGAGCAATGTAGTTTTGCTGACCTCATGATGAATACGTGACCCTTAAAATCGTATTGACTTCTGAAATTATATTGAAATATATCATATCTTCCTAAACTGATTTCCTGATTTTTTGGGATTGATATAAAATGGAATTTAAATTGATTACCTGATTTATTGGGATTGATTTGATCTTCAATATTCCACCGAATTAAATTTGAAATTTCCTGATTTATATATTTACTGATTGACGATTTATGTTTCCTGATGTGTACAGTTTTATTTTTGAGAATAGAAGGGCGAAGTGGGAACTTCACTTATAATTTTTGAGCGGGAAAATGCAAGAGTGAGTGGCTAAGGGAATGTCAGGTGGCGTTTCTAGTACTGTTTTATTAGTAGAGAAGATATATATATATATATATATATATATATATATATATATATATATATATATATATATATATGTTCAAGTTCATTTGAAACCATTCTAATTTGGTGATACCGTGAGATCAAATCTAAAAATAATTTTAAAATGCAAAATAAATTGAAAAATCCAAAAATTCTTTTTTTAAATATTATTTTCGAAACTTCAATTAACTAAAAAAAAATAAAAGAAATAGAAAAAAAATCTCGTTTTTTTTTTTTTTTGAAAAATACGTGAAATATTCTAAATACAATATTACACTGACATATTCTAAAAAATAATTTTAAAATGCAAAATAAATGGAAAAATCTAAAAATTCTTTTTTTAAATATTATTTTTGGAACTTGAATTAACTAAAAAAAATTTAAAAAATCCTATTTTTTTTTTAAAAATACGTGAAATCTAAATAGAATATTACACTGTACATATTCTAAAAATAATTTTAAAATGCAAAATAAATTGAAAAATCAAAAAATTCTTTTTTTTTAAATATTATTTTCGGAACTTGAATTAACTAAAAAAAATTAAAAAAATAAAAATAAAAAAAATTAAAAAAAATGTGTCTCACGGTTTCACAAAATTAGGCCGTCTCACATGAACCTAACTCTCTCTCTCTCTCTCTCTCTCTATATATATATATATATATATATATATATATATATATATATATATATATATATATATATATATATATATATATATATATATATTAGGGATTAGGGATGAGCTTTAGAACTGGAACCGGTTTTCCTATATTATAAGAACCGGGAATCGGACCGCCGGTTCTGGTGTCGGTTCCGGTTCCGGTCCCGGTTTTTCGGTTATTTTTCAAAGTAGAACCAATTGAAATACTATAAATTATATGCTATCTTTCGGAGCTTGTAAATGATTTAATATTTAACTAAATTATGACTTTTTACATTCTAAACTGAAGTACAAACACTAAATTACATGATGAAAAAAGAATCAAGTAATTCCGACTTCATATGAGTGAGTTATACGCATTTTAAAAGCGGTGACAGATTCCAAAAAAAATAAAAAATGTTGAAACAGAAAAAACACAGCATTGATATGTTGTCTTCCGGGGTATATAACTGATTCAATAAATAACCAAAATATGTGTTTTTATATTCTAAAATGAACTACAAACACCAAATTACATGCTGGAAAAATAATTAAGTAATTCCGACGTTATATGAATGAGTTATACACATTTAAAAAATGGGACAAATTTCAAAAAAAACAAAAAAATAATGTTGAAATAAAAAAATAAAAATAAAAACGCAGCATCGATATGCTTTCCTTCGGGGCATGTGTCTGATTCAATATCTAACCAAAACATATGTTTGTACCGTCAAAAATGAATTACAAACTCCAAATTACATGTTGGAAAAAAAATCAAATAATTCCGACTTCATATGAGTGAATTATGCGCATTTTAAAAAATGAAAAAAAAAATGTCGAATCGGTTCCGGTTTTTAGAACTGGGACCGGTTTTCATAAAAATGGAGAACCGGTAACCGGACCTATTACCAATTCCGGTTCCAGTTCCGGCGGTTCTAATGTTCATCCCTAAATGGTTTTATAACTAATCCAACATCGGATGCATAAATGGTTTTATAACTTATTATGTCATTTTAGACCGGTAGAAGTGGGCACGATGTGAGGGGTTGTATGTAAGTTCAGCCACAGTGCACATTATCTCGGGTGTGTGGTCTAAGCCAAACACATGTCTTCTTAAAACTCTTGAAACAATCAAAATACATTCACAAGAAACACCTCAACCTCTTTATTTAATCAACCAATCTATTTATCATATGTTGTAACAATTGGGAATTATCTGTCACTAATTGTTACTAAAGATTTGCATCAACCAATGATAATAATAGAACTTTTCATATTAAAGGAAAATATGATCAGGTATATGATAATAATAGGATAAAAAATGAGTGACCAAAAAGTTATATAAAACTTTGTGATGGTCAGTGTATTTGGAAAGTGCACAACAAAGTGATCACGAGGATATAAGCATTGCAAAAATATAGCTCCGGTTGAAGGAGATATTGTAACATCCTAAAAATACCGAGTAAAACTTTCATTTTTAGAATAAGTCAAAACCCTTCATACATTATCTCAAATGACCGATTAGAGTAAAAGTATTCTCGAAACATCAGAGTGAAATTATAAGTAGTCATTGCAGAATAAATCTTCAAGAGATGCAATGCGATCAAGCCGGACTCTTCTCTTTTAAAACCGAAAGCACCTGAAACCATAAATATAAACCGTAAGCACAAAGCTTAGTGAGTTCCTCAAAATACGACATACAATACATATATATATATATATATATATATATATATATATATATATGTGTGTGTGTGAGTGTGTTTAACTGCATGTGGCTGTGTCAAGTCTGTATCAACCCCATGTGACAGCATGTAGTTGTGTCGCGTCTGTATCAACTCTATGACAGCAAGTAGATGTCTTGGGTCTGAATCAACCTTCAGGTCCGTATCACCCCTGAGTCCATGATGACTCTATATAACATCACGCGACTTTTTCGGGTCCGTATCAACCCCACATACATAAAACATACAATCATATTAGCAAGAGTCACAAAGACAATAAGCACGTATAGGCATATCAACAAGTGTCACAAAGACAACCATCATCCTACAACGATGATGATACTGTTCAAATTACATCACCTTTCGTCTCAATGGAAAGGACAAAGTGTAACAC